TTTTTACACCCATGAATCAACTGACAACCAAGCAGCCGAGCTTACGGAGAATAAACCCCCACCCCCACCCCTGCCCTCTTTCCTTCCTTCTTGCGGTTTCTTCGTTTGTTAGGTGTTTCTTCAGGCTTGTTAGGTTGCTCTTGAGGCTCGTTTCCCTGCCCCTCGGCTTCGTACGTCGAACTTGCCCTCTTCGTTTTGCTCTTTCTGTCCTTCCTTCCCTTCTAAGGCTTGTTAGGTGGCTATTCAGGTTTTTAAGCTCCTAAATTTGCCGTTCGTTCGGCAGACATGCATGGCCCTACACCTATCTTTTTTTCTCTTGCCCTCTTCGGTTTGCTCTTTTCTTTTTTAAGGCTTGTTAGGGGACTATTCAGGGTTTTGCCGGAGTGAGCGCCGCTATGCGGTGCTGTGTATGTGGCCCCCTCCGTTTAGGAGTTTTCCCTTTAAGGATGCAGGGGGCCAGGCAGGATACATCGTCGCCTGGTCAACAAAGCTGGCAATGTATCTGAGGGATATGGAAATGGGACGCCATTTCCACGTACCTGCACTGCTATCCAGAGAAACAGAAGGACATTTTTCTCGGCGCACTGTGCGCGTCAGTTCCTTTCCTTCTGTTGACCCTTTTCTGCTCTCTAATGGGGCGAGCTAGAAAATGGAAACTTCATTTCCTTGTCTAGTTATTTTTCTACCTGAAGCGATTCGAACTTATTCCATTATGCGCGGCCGTAAGTCGGGTCCGCTAAGTTTTCAGTAACTAAGATGTTTTTCAACAGATGTTCCAACAATTCAGTGTTGCTGACGCTGCCGCCTTACCGTTCCCTCATTCCTGTCACTGTGGATTCTGATAGTGGATGAACAAGTGTGTGCGCGACGTTTTTCTCATCAGAGGAAACCAACGTTTCACCTTGGGCCTATGCCTTTGCAGTTTCATTGCGCACTGAAGGAGAATGTTTGTACAGAATGTTGAACATGGCTACACTACTAGTAAAGTTTTTCCAAAAAATTAAAGAATCAAATCATTAGTGCGAGCGCTTCTTCAAGGAAGCATCCCCCGCCGCCCGCCAGTGCGGCGGGGCTAGTTTCCTTGAGGAAGTGCGAATTCTCCTACGTCCAAGGTAGTAGCTACTTGTAGGTGCTAATTACTACTAGCGACCTCCGCGGCCTACCCCCACCGCGCGCGGGAGGGGACGGGGGGAGCGGCTAAAAAAATAAATGCTTTTGGAGGGGGTCAAGTAAGAAGTTTGCTTCGCCGAGGAAATACTCGTGGACACACATCACAGCTTCAACACGCGGATGCACTTCAAGGCAGCTACCCGACATGGGAGTCTCGGCACAAAAATTGACATATGCCTCGACAGATACTTCAATGAGATTGAATCACAGAGTCGCCTAGAAAGGAAACATGTTCTAACCAGTCTCATGAATAATGGCTAAGAGGCCAACGCGTAATTGCTGAACCATTTGGGCGCACAGCAATCGCAGGCCCACGTATCCGACTCAAAGTCCAGTTGGACAATCCTTTGCCCGGTACAGAAGTCCCCCAGTGCCCCACACCGTTTTTCTATATTCAAAAGGTAAAAACTGTAGAGTTAGGTCAGATCATGTTGCGCATAGGTTTCTCCAACGGACGGGCAAGATGGGATGAATACGTTCCCAACGAGAACCGACGACACGATCACCTGAGGACCACTCAGTTTGATGCACATGTGGAAGCATCTCATGAAGATCTTGAACCGGAAAATGAGGCTCGCAGCTCAGGGTGGACTGAACCGGAAAAGACCCAAGGCCCAAGAACGTTCAATCAAAGATAAATTAAATTTCAAGCATTGCGATCAGATCAACAAACCCTTGCATTGTGTCGTTGCATACCAGCCCGCAAAAGCGCCAAGGTACAAGGGAAATGTTGCAGCCAAAATGCCTTTGAAACTTTGGTGTTGTTCTAGTCCACACCACATCCATCAAACACTACCCGATTCTGAGAGGGACTCAAGAGTTCCGAACCAGGACGTCCCAACCATTTTCTGGTAGAAACAATAAGCTATTAGGAACAAGTGCATCGCTTCTAGTAACAAGTGCCTTACTAGTAGTAACAATGCTAGTAGAAACAATATAGAATTAAGTGTAATTAGTGTTGTTCGCATTTGGGGGAACCTGGTTTCTTCGCATGCTGGCCCCGGATCCAACATCAGTGATCCTGTAGGGTTGTGTGGTTGTGTTTTGAATAGACATGTGTGGTTTGTGTGGCAAGACGTACCCCATATTTGAGCTGCAGTCACCATAGTATAGATTCCAGTAACACCGGCATGCGCAGGAGGTCACGCTGGAGATGAGGATTGGACTTGTTGATTTGGGGCCAACCGTGGCAGAAACACTCTGAAAGCGGAGTCGTGAACAGTAATTAATCAAGAGGACCAACAGACAATCCAATGGAACATCTTTGATATCTGATGCTCTATGTTTCAAGTGTTTCAAGGCCTTGGGTTGACCCTTCATAGTCGCAGGTGAGACGTGTCCACTCCGGAAAGTGGAACTTTCAAAGTTTTTCCGGTGGTGCTGGGTGCTCCACAAAAGAGTTTTTGGAACCTTTGCAGTCTAAGGGACCTGTTTCATCTTTAAAACATAGAACATCCAGCAGTCTCCAATCTATTTATGGATCAAATTGTGGGCATTTTGCTTTGTTATTGTGGGTGTCTGACAGTTATCATGGACCGGGAATCCGCTGTTGACCGAAGGTTAACTAGAACGTAGAACGTCTACAGTAGTTACTAGGTTCTTCAATTGGCCCAACAGGGGCGACTTGAACGAAGGGCTAGCCAGTCAGTCTCCAGCTTCACACTCATCAATAAGCTCAATGGTCGCGTTCGTTGAGGCAGCCAAACATGCCAACAGCGCACCTTTCACAAAGATAGATCAGAACAGATCAGAAGAACTAACCGCACAAGAATGCTTCTTTTCTTTGGACAAGAACTAACCCTCGTGTTGCTTTTCCACCAGGGTTTCGGCGAAGTACTTTTGTATCCCGAGGACATGCAGGTGCAGAGAGCATGTTTAAAATCAACTAGGTGAACACTTTGGCTGGAAGTTGGTGAAGGTTGCTTCACTTGTTCTCAGAAGATGGATTGTAAGGACATAAGCTGCTAGCGTGTCAATGTGACTCGGATGGCAAGCGAATGCTGTCCGAACTACACCTGGCCACCCCAGGTCGGACGATGGGACCAAGTCCCATCGTCCTCACCGATTTGTGAGCCCAACCGACGGCCGTACCGTGTCCCTCCAACGTGTCGGTCGACTCCATCAGGGCAACCGAAGAGCGGTCCGCGCCACCGTGCTACGGGGTCCGCGCGAAAAAGAAGCCGAGATAGAAGCACAGCCAGCGCTAAGGCTCGGGAGTTTCAGAACATGTCTTCTAGTCAAAAGGTTTAGTCTGCCAGTCTCATCAACTGTTTGTATTGAATTGAATTTCACCATGCGTACGACTTGCTGCAGAATGCTGCAGTTGTGTAAGCTTTGATGTGTTTCTGTGTTCGTTGGTTTCGTTTGGGGTTCTCCAACAGGGCCCCAATTGAAACGAGTCGACCAAATCAGCAACACAAGTCGTTCGATTGCAATGGGTCAAACAATGCGGTCGATCATCATTGGCAAAGGCTGCGTCGTGCAAGGCGTTCATGACAAAGGTGCCTTGAAACGTGCAAAGGTATCACATGAACAGGAAGGGAAGTGCTCAAAGCCTAAATTCAGACTTAGCTCCTGAATCATGTGGCTCGCGAAGCGAACATGAATTCAACTCATGAAATGTATGAGCTCCAGGACTCCAGGACTTAGCTTATTGTCGGAGTGTCGGAGTTCCATCAGTTCCAACTCAAGACATCCGTGGATTAGACATGAAAAAATGTCCTGGAAATCTCACACACACACATAGGGCCTGCCACAGCCGGCAAGCAGACCAAGACTATGGACAGAACAAGCAAAAGAGATCAAAAGAGCAAACCAGAACAAGAAGATGAAAAGCGATACATGTTCGCCAGGTTCCTTTTTGTAAAGCTCACGTCGCCCTCACGGACCTGCAGGTCCAACGTTCCCAGACACCTCTCTCCCTGTTCAGAGTTTGCGCTGCTTGTGTTCACAGATTTTCGAGAGAAATACACTGTTCTCGTTTCGACTCTACCGCTTGGGGTGCCGAGGATCCAACACGTCGACTTTACTCACGGCAATCCGGCCAAGGTGTCGGGATCAGTCTTTGGAGGAGGTGTGTATGGAAAAGGCATCGGCCAAAGGAATCAGAACTGAACTCCGTAATTCGATGGCAACTCCGTAGGCTATGTTGGGCCATCCCCCACACACACCGGAGGGTCTCAAACGCAAAGGTGTACCGGGTTCGTTGACTGATTGTTGTTTGGTTCTCTTGAGCATCTGGTACTATCAGTACTGTCATCATATTGATTTTCTTTGTGGCACATTTATTGGTGCTTGGAGAAAATGTTGGATCTGTTTGACATGGTGGTAACATAACCCGATTCGAGACGCTGTACGCTGAGAACACTTTGACCTCAAGCAGTTAAAGATGCCAAGCACGTGCTATTTTCTCCGTGGTCGTTCTGGAATGGAAAACACATGTTTTTCATTTCTTCGCCCTCGCCACTTGCGGGTGCAAACCGAGTAAAAAAGGCCAGATTCAGATTGGCGTGCGAAAAGACCTTTCAAACTTGCGACCTGGAACGGCCTCGCCGTGATTTTGTAACAATCCAACCTTGGTGAATGCTACAAACATCTAACTGCAAACAACTTTGTTACCTCCTTTGTAGTGAACGTACGGGTTTGTTGCCGGACATGTTCTTGCCGCATTTCGTAGTTTCCGGCTGGGTCCATGGCTCCACACAGAAGTCGCAGCGTAAACGCTTCAGGCGTGGGTTGCCAAAGGCAAGCTTTGGTTTCCACTTACCTGCAGGCGGGGGCGTTGCGCAGCTGCAAGACAAGCTGTCGAACCAAGACATGTTGTTGGCGCAATGGCCGCCGTGACAGCTTGTCAAACGTTCATGAGATTTCGAAGCCCAAAGCCAAATCTAGTACTGCGTGTTCTTGAGCCCAGGAAACAAGGGACAATTGGACTTACGTTTCGGAAGCAATGACGCTATTAGGGACTCCTGGCCATACTACTAGTAACAAGAAGCTATTTAGAAACAAGAAGCTGTTTCAGAAGTCTTTGCAAAAAAAACATTTCATCAGTGTCATACATCCACCATGGCTTCTTCTCCGATGCGAGGCCTGCATCTTCTGCGGGGCTGGACGGGTGATTGGCGTGGCGCCACGGGATGTGGCAGTGCCACGGCGAGGAGGACCGCTGATGGGGCCGAAGTGGGCGGCGAGGAGGACGCGTCACCGGAGAGAGTGGAGGGCTGCGCTCTTGCCAAGCGAGACGGAAAAGAGATCACATAGAGCCTTCACTATCTTCAAAAACCACAAGAATGCATTGCCCCAATCGATTTACACCAGGAAATACCACACTGCGTCCGTAACTAGTCATTTGGGCCCAAGCGCTGGCAGAAGGGAATCAGCCACGCTTTGCCCAGACTATGGCGGTGATGCTTTCACGAGTCGCGGCTGCAATGCGTTTGAGTTGTCCAGCCTCAGCACCTAGCCGTGCTGCGAGTTCCGCTCGCAAGCCAAGCGAAGAAGCCCCAAAGATCAATCGAGAGCTCTTGGAGCTGCTTCGCAAGCCACCCACACCGCCACCACTTCCAGATTTCCTCAGGAATGACAAAGAATTGCGAGTTCGTGTCGAGTACGTCAAGGTGTCCCATCAGCATGAACAACACCAGAAGTTCTGGGAAAAAATGTCACTTCCAGGGGGAGTCTTTGCACTTGGAAGTATCGGTTGGCGGTGATCCAGCAGCCTCATTAGATTGTGCTTCACTCACACTTGCCAACGAGTTCAGAGCTTGGACCACCTCTCCTGCAACTGTGGATTTCATTAGCTTCTGGAAGCTGTGTGGTTTGAAAGCATGTTTGAATCTCTCAAAGGTCGGTGCAGTGAGTGCCAGCATGGTGAAAGCAGAGGTTTTGCACGGAATCGCATTCCAGGGGATTGTTGCTGCAGTCGGTGGCGTCTATGTGGCAGGCACCGTTGCAACCGGTGGTGGTCTTGCTGCCATTGGCTCGACAACAGGACTGGCTGGAGAGCTAGCTGCAGGTTTGGGGCTCGAAGTGGTTGCACTGGAGGCAGCTTGTCAAGCAGCTGCTTTGGAGCTGCTTGCTGCAGAAAGTGCCATGGCTGCAGCCACTACAATCGTGGCAGAAGTGGCAGCAGCGGAAGTCGCAATCGCAGCCGTGGAGCCTGGGCTTGCCTGCCTCACTGTTGGATTGTCGTACCTACTGATGCCTGTCCGCTGCGCTCTGCTTGGCCGCAAACTGCTACAACTCAAAGAGGCATACGAGGCCAACAAGAAGGAACGGGAAGTTCAGAAAAAATGCAAGCAAGACATGCAAATGTATCTCGAGGCCTGGAAGAAGTACTTGGCAGACTTTGAGAAGTATGTCAAAGCACTGTACATACAAGACTGCGCTTGACTATTGTGACCTTGCCCGGCGATCATGTTCCCATTTCACCGTTTCGCGCAGACTTCTGAGTGAAGGTTCCTCAGACTTTAACCAATTTGAGTGCCCGCTCCGCTGGTTACAGTCTCCATTGCAGCAAAACAGCATTTCCATCCTGTTCAACAGCCCGGAAAGCAACACCTGAAACGCAAACTGCTGGGAAAGAAGAGACTAAAACCAAGAAGTTTCGATTACTGACATACAAGATTAAACATTTAACTATCGTGGCAAGAGACCCTAAACAGTGTGTGTGAGGTTTAGAGGTGTAGCAGCAGAAAGTCTACAGACCTAGACGCATTGGGGTTCAGATGAGTGCGTGCGTGAGTGAGTGCGTGAGAGAGGGAGGGAGTGAGTGAGAGTGTGAGTGTGAGTGTGAGTGTGAGCCAGTGAGACGCGAAATCTGCACTTCGAGGTTCACAAAGTTCTGCGCCTGCCACGAAATCTGCACTCGGAGGTTCACAAAGTTCTGCACCTCCCACGAAATCTGCACTCCGAGGATCACAAAGTTCTGCGCCTGCCACGGAATCTGCACCTCGAGGTTCACAAAGTGCTGCCCCTGCCACGAGATCAGCACTTCAAGGTTCACAAAGCGCTGCACTTGCCACGAAATCTGCACTTCGAGGTTCAGCTGCGCCTGCCACGATTTCTAAAAACGAACCACGTGTACAAAAGTCACGACTCACTGCACCTGTCACGAAATTAGAGCGCCTCCAAGATCACCACCACATCCAAAGTGCTGCACCTGCCACGAAATCTGCATTTCGAAGTAAACCTGCTCCGATCCCTTGCACCTGTCACGAAAAGTCGACTTTGGCCAAAACAGAAGGTTCCCTGCGCACCTACCGCGAAAAGTGACCACACCAGCCCACCAGATTTTGCGAGCCTGCTCAGTCGAAATGCTTCCGAGAAGCATGAACGTATTGGGTTTGTCCTATTACCTGTAACCGTCGGTGGACAAATTCACTACTTTTGAACAAGGCCTTTACTAACCATCATCATCCACTGTTACTGCTAATAGGATAGACCCAATGCAGTCTAAGCAGCAGCGAATCAGCCGGGCACGTCGGCGCGACACCTCGATTAGACACCGCCACCGGTTGGGGAAAAACAACAGACAGGTGAAAGTGTCATCAAGTGACGCAGTTTTTCCGTAGATTCACCCAGACCTTGCATGCCAAAACCGCTCGCAGGATCCAACGGTCCGTGACTGGTTGATGGGTTCTTTGACGCTGCGGATGACAGCATGGCGCCTCGGATGAGCTTTGTATCTTAACCCACGCCCATTGAGTCGAACATGTTCACATTACATTCCACTCAATGGATCCAACGCGAGGCTCAACTCTCAAAGAATTGCCCTTTGCGATGTTATAATGCGATCGGCTTTGGCAACGGTTAGACTGTACAGTCGCATCATTGGCGCCCATCCTTCGGGAAGAATCATGTTCGCACATTTTATTTGATTGTTTTTCTTTCGCCAAAAGTTGCAGTGGGTCAAAGTTAGACAGGTGTGCCTTCAAGTATGGGAAGTTTGAAAGGCCCCACGCGTGTGTTTTCACCAAAATCTGCCACCAATATCACGAGTTTCTGACCTGTTCGCAAATGCCAATATGTCTGACCATTTGGGAATCCAATGAGGTTCTGAATTTGCCAGTGTCGCTTGGACTATTGGTGCCAAACAGAAGAGACCGGAAGAGCTTGGAGGCTGCTTTCGTGCCTTGCCGGCAGAAGAGCCATGGTTTTTCGGGGGCGCCTGGGCCCACCTGGTGTTTCAGAGTCCAGGCATCCCGCAGCATGCAGCACTGTTCTCCACAAGTCCAAGCGAGCAGTGACTGTGAGCATGGGTTGGGACGAGCTGGTGGTTTGGAGATGCTGTTCGGTGTTGGTTTGGGGGATCGGTTTGGGAGATCTGCCGAGAACCCATCCTATACGCATCTCACAAACTCCATGCTCTCACAGTACTTCGAGAGCTCACCAAGCTCACCAAATCATCCTACGATGCCGCGCGCAAGCTCCGTTCGGGCCAATACACTACGCCGTACAAACACTACGCCGTACCTTTCCACCTCCCTACACACAAGCTAACAAAAACAAGCCCATGTTACCCTCAGCAAGCTTCACAACCATCGACGATGGGAACAAACCTTCATGCATCCACCACATGAAGATCAGCTTCCATGTGGCTGCCCCCACCTACGCACCCTTCTCAAACCTGACCACCCCACACCCAGTGAGGATCACCTCATTGTCACTCTGGAAGACTTTCAACTGCCACCCCACTTGCACCACTTTCTGGGAGCCAGCCAACATGCCAGTCGCCTGAGCTCTTTCGACCTTTACCCGACCAAAACACGACCAACATTCGAGCTCTTATCCAACAAGCTTTCCCCGGCCAGCTCCGCAAAAAATACAAATGGGGCTTGCGCACCAACTTCACCGTGCCTCATGGTGTCGTTCACCTCAAATTCAAAAAGCACTGGAAAAAGGCCACGACATCCTTTCCTACTTCCAGTCCCATTACGGCAATTTGCTCGGGGCACATCCACTGTTCTCAACACCATGATCTTCAGACTCTTGCCCAAGAACCAGGCCAAATTTCCATCCCCCCGCTTTGGCGTCACCTCCACGATTACCTCCAACACACTCCTGCCCACATCACCTTCCATGCCATCAACGATGACCTGGTTGGTTTCTTCAACTCAGTCCCACAAGACCGGCTGCTGGACGCTGTCCAAAGCCTCACCACCAAATCGCAGCTCACTTTTGACACTCCCACCCCACCCTCAAAGCCACACAGCACACCCTCTCCGGCTCTCACATGTCGGCCAACACCACAGACGTCACCCCACGCAACGCACCATTGACGCCAACAACGTTGTTGCTATTGTAAAAGTTGCACTGGACACCTGTATTTTCCAAGCATGTACTACCTACTTCCAACAGGTAAGAGGAGCGGGGATTGGATCCCAGCTCTCTCCAGCGCTATGCAATCGAGCACTCCTGGCACCAGCTCCACTCCTCCCTCACCGACCACACAGAGATCCAGGTCACCTACTACCGCTACGTGGACAATCGCTTCATCACCTTCAACCACACCTTCCTTGATCACATTGGCATTCAAACCATCATCCACCCGGACTTCTTTGGGAACCCAGTCGAACTGGAACCATCGATGATATGCACCTCCTCGCCTTTGACGTCGACCTCAACCAGCGCACCATCACCTACATCCCTCCCCTGGAAAATTCGAGATCATGCTTCAGCCGGGCTCCCGGAGACTACGCTTGTCAGGACTCAACTCCAGAGCACACCTCATCCGCAACTACACCTACCCCGCCTCGGTAGCTGAATGCTCAACTTGCCCAACTCTACGCCCAAAAAGGGCATGACCTAGCAGACTGCACATGCGAGTTGTTCGCAGCAAAAAAGACCGTCTTGCCTTACTTACTATCCTCCTCACCACCATTGAAACCTACCCGTTCCGACCTCCACCAATCCCCTCCACCCAGAGTGTGCCGAATTGACGGCTGTTTGTGTGTGTGTGTGTGTCCACACCTGTTTCCAGAATTCGCCAGCTAGTAATTCACACATGACAGCTGCATGGGGGGCAACGGCCAGTCTACTTACGTTGCCCAACGAAGCTACAGAAGACTGGTGGAAGCATTCAGGGACGCCTGAATGCGTACCTGCCATTTTAATACACCGTCAAGGGCTGATGAGTTTCCTCCGTCTTACCCATGTGAAACACTCGTGTTGATCTGACCCAGCTTTCATTCCCTTCCTGCGAGTCAAGGTCTAGTATTGCAGCCGGTATTGTAACCACTAGAGTGGATTGCCTTAACTGAATTAGCTCTAGCGAGCATCAATCTAAGTGTGTGACGCGCATTTGTGAGTGCAATCGCATGGTGAATACATCTAAGCGCGGGCGTCCAGGTACCTGGCAGCATAAATGCGCCAACAGCATGACATGCCACTTTACCAAGTAGAAAGACAACTAGCCGACCCACCCATGAGTAGCCAGCCAGCCAACCAGCTCTTTGGTGTTGGGAGTTCTCTTATTAACCCCTCCTCTTTGTGCTTCCGCCCTCTCAGGTGGCGACTGTCGAGTTTTTTGTTCCCGTTGTCTTTTGTGACTACCCAAAACTGAGAACAAAATCGCCAAGATACCTCGGAAGGATCAGAAAAAATGCGCGCCAAATCACATGTGTTTTGTAAAATAGTCTTTGAAGACCAAATGGGAAAAGAAAAGAGAAACATGTTATTGTCAATTAACAGAACACGTGTCCGTTCTTCACCTTAGGGCCCGTCCATCGGGACGGGCCGGCCACTGAACGGGCGAGCTGGGCTTTCAACGGAGCGCTCCAAGCGAACCAATCCAAAGTTCGCTATATAGGTTTGAGCCAAGCTCGTTTTTGGAATAGTTCGATGAGTGGACCCTAAGTTCACCACTTTATATGTCATTACACCTTCGCATGGCGGATGTGTTTATTTTCCGAAAAAGGGTGCCGTGACTGACTCCGCCCATGGAGCTGGGAAACAACTGGCCCCCACAGCAGCGCCATTGGGAACCGAGGCGATCGAGGATCTCACACTCTGACGCTCCTGCGGGCTACCTCGATCAATATGCGACACAAAAAAGGGTGGCTACCTCAATCACGATAATTTCAGTTTCGACGAAGCGTCAACCTCACACATCGGGAGCACGATCGCCTCATGCACAGTTGTTTTTCCTGTGCGCTGGTCTTTCCTGTCCTGCAGCATTTGCTTCGAGTTTTGGGGCCGAAACCTATTTGAGTTTTGCGTCCGACAGACGACAGATGACACGTCGGCGACCTCAGTGGGGTTCTTGAAGGTATCCCACAGCGAAAGCACAGGCCAATCCAGCTTCTCACTGGATGTACTTGAGAGGCCCAGCAACTCCGCATGGAATACAATGGGATGAGATCAGGGAGCCTCCCCGTACGCAACCATCCCCACCGTTCAGAAACCCAGCTCATACCTCAGACCACCCACCGACGGATCCTAACCTTCTCAGTCCGACAGCTTTCGGAGTTCCAGCTCCGCACGCCGCACCGATGGCGCTCGCCGCTACACTCCACGTGGCCGCTGGGCAGCGAGGTGTCGGGCGAAGCGGAGTGGTGTGCGTGGAGCGCTGCGAAGCATTGCGCGGGGCGCGCTGGTGATGGTTGGAGACGAGTGTAGCTTACATGGGTCAAACATAGAGAAGCACAATGGCCCTTGATTCAATGAATCCGCTCTCTTCTCCACTGAAGGACTTGAAGGACTGTGCCTTTTGGAGACTGGGTGCGTGCGATTCACAGATGGAGTGGAGTCAAATTTATTTGACTCTGTTGAGCCTTGTCGGCGGGCCGGGCAAGATCTGCGTGGACTGGCCCCTTCTGGGCCTTGACATGTTTCCTTCCACGGTCCAGTTCAACAGCTGTAAAAAGAGCTTCTTTGTGCCCAGCAACCAGTGAAGGTCCCAAAGCCTGTGCCAAGAGCCCGGCCGAGTGCAGTCCACTCGTCCGCTGTCGAGGTGAACGTTGCGGCGTGGCTTTCATGGTGCCTTTTGCTGCTCCATGCGCTCCTGCCACACAGGGATGCAGGTGCGGTTCCAGTGGGCGGGGTCTGTTTTGCAGACACTTCTGGAGCCGGTCCCTTCCAGACACTTCGGCGCTGCTTGTGAGGTCTTCGGGACGGCAACGCCAAGATGCTTTTCTTGGCCTTGCAGGCCTTGATGGCACTGGAGGTTTGTGCCATCACCTTCTCTCGGAAGTGTAGCGCCTTGGTGGGATGTTTGGAGAGGTCATTGGCGTTTGGCTTAAGGTGCTGAAGTATCCTTTTGGCGGTTCCGACTAGACACTTGTTTGAAGAGGAATGACCGTTCCACTTATTTGTGGGCACTATAGTGGACAACGATGCCAGTTCATGTAGAGAACCACACCGCCTGAATGCTGGAGAAAGTGGACTTGCTTGGCACCTTCTCTTTTCAAGCCCACGAGCATGCATTTGGACGCAGGGATGAGCAATACCAGCTCCAACTTGTATGTAATGTCAGACGTCAACTGTAGATGACCCTCATATCGCGACGAAGATCTACAGGTTTATGGTAGGCTTTGCAATAGGTTTTCTGTGTTTTTCCTTTGTACTCTTTCTTTTCGTTAAAAGGGACAGCCGGAACCTGTTTTTCTTGTTCCGGCTTTTCTGCAGTTTTTCTCGGAACGTGTTCGGCCGAGGCGTCGGGAACTTCCTGCAAACGGGGCTGGGCGTCTTCATCTGCTCCTCGGCGAAGCACCGGTGCACCGTCGGTGGGATGAAGAAAGGCACCAGCCAGGTCGGTAAAGGCCAAGTGAGTGGACTTCAAAGGCGTCCGTGACCGCCCCTGGTCCGGAAAACGTAAAGGAAGAAAAGGCACCTTTTCGGTGAATCGCCTCATCGTCTTCTAGCAGCGTCCCTCCTAGTAGCGATGACAGGAGTCCCTAGTAGCGATTGTCTCAAAGGTCTTGCCTTGACCGTCTTCGAGGTCTTTTCCGGGTGAGCACGGCCTTGCTGGTGGTCCCACTGTTGGAGAACGAGTGGCTCCAGAAGGTGCAAACGAGGGATTAAAATTGCGCGAACGCAAAGAAATCTTGGACAATCAGAAACCAATGCAGATGACTGGAGGGATGCCCACTCCAATCCCCACTCCACTCCACTTAGATGGAGGCACTCCTCGCCGGCTGGGCCTTGTCGGACACCGTGCGCTACGCAGCGCTCGTGGGCTGCTGGGCGTTGAATGGGAGGTTTGACCAAGTCATTCTCCATCCTTTGCATCCTAGCAGCGATGCCAGGAGCCCCTAGTAGCCTTTTTCCAGTTCACATGTCCTCTTTTCCACGTCTCCATCCTTTTACACACCGGTTCTGTTTCCGCCGTTGTTTGTGTTCTTCGTCTGAAGGCAAAGGTGTGGCGTCCTTGCAGCGCTTGCGCCGCGCGGCGTCCACGGTGCTCTTCCCGCTGGTGGCGCTGGCAGAACTGGGGGCTGCAGGGTTGGTGCTGGAGACGAGTTCGGAGAGGACGCGGCATTTCTTGATGGTTTCGTGGTGAAGAAAGCTGGAGATGGGTGGAGATGGGTCTAGGGGGCGGATGATGGTGGATGTGTTGGTGGAGAATTCCCGATCAATGTGTTTTGTAGTGCAAGGCCTTTTGAGTGAGGTGCCAGATCTTCGCTTTAGGAGGTGGCACTTCTGCCAACCAATTCGGCCTATTTGTTCGAACACCCTGTGCGACCCAGGCCCAGATGTGCGTGACGCTGCTGGGCGTGCCCGTGGGGTCCTTCCTGTTTCTGCGGGCGGCGTCCAAGAAATCCACCTGAAGGCCCGGCCGCGGCATCCGCGGGGTCGCGGGTGAAAACAGTCGCATCGGCATGAGGTCGTGGACGGTTGGACACTTGGGTGGTTGTCTACATAGTTGGAGGGATGAAAGGATGGTGGTTCTTTTTCGGCGGTTCGCAGGTTCGTAAGGCAGTTCTCTTGTATAGTTGGATGGAAGTTGAAAAGAAAACATCGACCATGCTGGTGCTCTCTGCAGAGCTTCCTCAGGAACTTGGGATCTAGCAGAGGCCACTGAGCAGATCATAGCGGGTCCTCATTGAACGCTCTGCCGGCTTCCTCGATCAGCATGCTGAAAAAAATATGCCTGCGCACAGGTGTTCTACATGTTCAAGACTGCAGTGCAGCGTTTATTAAATTGCACAAGTAACAAGGTCATTCGATGCAACAATTTCATTTTGCAAGATTTTGTTGTATGCTTTCTGATGTCGAAAGTGGCCCGCACATTTGCACTATCGCTTCCGACTCAAGATTTGGCGTTTGTGTTTGTTTCGAGTCTGGAGTCCGACAGACCAACAGCCTTTTTTCAGTGTTCGTCCTATCAAATCCAAAAGAGAATAAAAGAAATGAAGAGACGAAGAGGCATAGCGGTCAAATCGATCCCGCTGGAAAAGCTAAAACCTTTCATGCGTCGGTTGGCCTTGCTTAGCAAAGCCTTAGCCCTATCTTAGAACCACGTATCAGGCCTCCAACCTAATAGCGATGCCAGGAGCCCCTAGTAGCGTCCTTGCTCCTAGTAGTAAGGCCAGGAGCCCCTAGTAGCGTCCTTGCTCCTAGTAGTAAGGCCAGGAGCCCCGAACGTAGC